GTGTGGACTTGTTAAAAATTTGTGATTGGATTTTGGATTAGAAGTTCATTTAGGTCATTTCACTAATGAATGGACAGTAAAGGATTTCATAATATATTTGTGAGGGTGGCAACTGAAAGAGAATTTTAAAACTGACAAAATAGGTGAGGGAAGGTATAGGAAATTTCAAAATCTCATAAAGAAGTCTTTCTTGAAATGGAAAAAGCAAACAAACAAACAAGCAAACAATAACACTGGTACCCTGGATAAGAGTCTGCTAATTAGAGAAAGTACCCTGAGAAGGTTCACCTGAGGGTCATGAATGGCATTCAGAAGAATGAGGCCTGCACTCTGTGAAAAAGACACCTGCACTCGGATGTTTATGGCAGCACAATTCACAATTGCAAAGCTGTGGAAGCAACTCAAGTGCCCATCAATACATGAGTGGATTAATAAAATGTGGTACATGTATACATGGAGTACTATTCAGCTATGAGGAACAGCGGCGAGAGGGCAACTCTTGTGTTTTCCTGGCCGGAGCTGGAACCCGTTCTATTAAGCGAAGTATCCCAAGAATGGACAAATAAGCACCACCTGTGCTCACCAGCAAATTGGTACGAACGGATCAACACCTAAGTGGACACAGAGGGTTAACATTTATCGGGTGTCGGGCAGGTGGGGGAGGGATGGGCATACACATCCATTGTGAATATGATGAGCTGGGGGATGGGCGCACTTGAAGGTCTGACTCGCGGGGGGAGGGGGAAAGTGCAATATACCTAACCTTAATATGTATGCTGGAAAAAAATCAGAGATAAATAAATAAGTCAAGAAAAGTAAAATGAGGCCTGTCGAGCAGGTCTGGGTGTGACTCTGGATCCCCAAACATCCAGTGCCACCACCAGAGATTCCTACAGATACTCATATAACCCTAAAAGCAACAGGACAAGTTCTGGTCACATACTCCCCAAAATGACATTCCAACATTATTCTTGAACTCTCTCCCTTCTCAGACTGTCTCCCCTCTCCAGTGTGTGGGTTCACACAGACCAGACCTTTGGCCTGAGACCTCACAGTCCTGATGCCACGCATGCTGCCGCGTGGCAGTGTTGCAGCTTGGGACAAGAGGGGGCCATGGTGCAGGCTGGGGCGCCAGGCACCGTGGCAGGCACTTATGATGAGGGTGACACCCCCCAGACCCCTGCCATGCTCCCAGAAAGGGGGCAGAAAAAGGCAAAAGCCTACGGCACCACCGATCTCCCACCAAGTACTAACGAGATCCGACCCTGCTTAGCTTCGGAGATCAGACGAGATGGGGCGCGTTCGGGGTGGTGTGGCCGTAGACGGCGGAGGGCGCCCCTGCCCCGCTCAAGAGGCCAGCCTCACCGCGCTTCCCTGTGCCTAGTCCTGCTCACGGCCCTGCGGCAGCGCTAAACATGGGTATTGAGTTCCCGGCCCAGGGTCCACAGTTTCCACAGGACAGGGGTGCTGGGCGGGGCAGGCGGCCCCCCCAACAAAAGATACGCCCCCATGGGTGGCCACAAGAGGAAGGGGATTTCTAGTTAGGTTTAGGGTGAAGGTTACGTATGGAACTTCTTTAGAAACAACTTTAGGTTTGTTATTCCAGTTTGTCTGGACACTATAAACCCTGCTTCAGTTCTCAGAGAAGGGCAGGTGTGTGCTCAGTGCACTTTGTCATTTCTTTGTGTAAGTCACTGTAAAAATTTCCCTTTGGAACTTCTTTATGAAATAACATTGTTTTCATATGTTTTTTTCTAGACAACTATACAAACTCAGTTTTCAAAGAAAAACAAGTGTGTTAATGCAATTTCTCACTTCTTTGTATAAGTCACTGTAAATATTTGCACTTGGAGGGTCTTATGAAAGTATTTACTGTTTTTAATGTATGAATCACAGGAAACTCTAAACACAGTTTCACTTTTCAGAGAAAAGCAAGCGTATATTCAATGTACTTCCAGGATAGTGTGGTTAGGGTTAGGGTTTTTCCCTTAGGGTTAGAGTTTTGTGCTAGGGTTACAGTTAGGGTTAGGATTTTGATTCAGGATTTGGATTAGGGTGGCTTATGGAACTTCTGTAGACACAACTGTAGGTTTGTCATGTGAATTTGCCTGTATACTATAAACACTGCTTAAGTTCTCAGAGAAAATGAAATGTGTACTCAATGCACTTTGTTGCTCTTTTGTGTAAGTCAGTATACATATTTGCCTTTTGAAGTTCTTTTTGAAATACCTTATTGTATTTATGAGTGTTTTTCGGAAACTCTACCATCTTCTTCAGTTCTCAGAGAAAAGCAAGTGTGTTATCAATGCAATTTCTCGCATATTTCTGTAAGTCACTCTAAATATTTGTGCTTGTAACTTCTTTATGAAAGTAGTTACTGTTTCTTGTGTTTGATTAACAGGAAACTCTAAGCACAGTTACACTTTTCAGAGAAAAGAAAACGTATATTCAATGTACTGTAGAATAGTGTTAGTGTTAGGGTTTCCCCTTAGTGTTAGTGGTAGGGTTAGTGTTTCCCATTAGGGTAAGGGTTAGGGTTAGAGTTTCGAATTAGGGTTATGGATAGTGTTTCTTTTTTTTTTTTTTTTGAGACAGAGTCTCGCTTTGTTGCCCAGGCTAGAGTGAGTGCCGTGGCGTCAGCCTAGCTCACAGCAACCTCAAACTCCTGGGCTCGAGTGATCCTTCTGCCTCAGCCTCCGGGGTAGCTGGGACTACAGGCATGGGCCACCATACCCGGCTAATTTTTTATATATATATCAGTTGGCCAATTAATTTCTTTCTATTTATAGTAGAGACGGGGTCTCGCTCTTGCTCAGGCTGGTTTTGAACTCCTGACCTTGAGCAATCCGCCCGCCTCGGCCTCCCAAGAGCTAGGATTACAGGCGTGAGCCACAGCGCCCGGCCATGGATAGTGTTTCTAATGGAACTTCTGTAGAAACAACCTTGTATTTGTTATGTGAATTCACCTGGATACCATGAACACTGCTTAAGTTCTCAGGGATAAGTAAGTGTGTACCCAATGCACTTTGTCGCTTCTTTGTGTAAACCACTGTAAATGTTACCCAATGGAAGTTCTTTTGAAATAGCTTCTTGTATTTATGAGTGTTTTCTAGGGAACTCTACAAAATTCTTCAGTCTCAGCGTAAGCAAGTGTGTTATTAATGCAATTTTTCATTTCTTTGTGTAAGTCACTGTAAATGTTTCAGCTTGCTACTTCTTTATGAAAGTATTTATTTGTTACTTCTTTTTTTTTTTTCTTTTTATTTTTTTTTTTTATTTTTATTTTATTTTTTTTTGAGACAGAGTCTCACTTTGTTGCCCAGGCTAGAGTGAGTGCCATGGCGTCAGCCTAGCTCACAGCAACCTCAAACTCCTGGGCTCAAACGATCCTCCTGCCTCAGCCTCCCAAGTAGCTGGGACTACAGGCATGTGCCACCATGCCCGGCTAGTTTTTTGTATATATATTTTTAGTTGGTCAATTAATTTCTTTCTATTTTTAGTAGAGACGGGGTCTCGCTCAGGATGGTTTCGAACTCCCAACCTCGAGCAATCCGCCCGCCTCGGCCTCCCAGAGTGCTAGGATTACAGGCGTGAGCCAGCGCGCCCGGCCTGTTACTTCTTTATGAAAGAATTTCTTATGTGAAATTCTCCGGAAACTCTAAACACAGTTTCACTTTTCAGATAAGAGCAAGTGTATATTCAATGTACATTTAGGATAGTGTTAGAATTAGGATTTTGCCTTAGGGATAGAGCTGGAATTTCATGTAATGGATAGGTTTAGGGTCAGGATTTTTCATTAGTGTTAGCGTTAGGGTTGCATATGGAACTTCTGTAGAAACAAGGTCATGTTTGCTGTGCGAGTTTGTCTGGGTAGATAAACCGCTTCAGTTCTCAGAGAGCAGGTCTCTGCCCTTTGTCGTTTTGGGGTAAGTCACTGTAAATATTTCACTTTGGAAGTTCAATATGAAATAAATTGTATTTATGTGTGTTTTCTAGGAATCTCTACAAACTTGTTCAGTTCTCAGAGAATAGCTAGTATGTTATCTAGGTGATTTCTCGCTTCTTTGTGTAAGTCACTGTAAACACTTGCGCTTGTAACTTCTTTATTAAAGTATTTACTGTTTGTTGTGTGCGATTATCAGGTAACTCTAAACACAGTTTCGGTTTTCAGAGAAAACTAAGTGTATATTCAATGTACTTCTAGGATAGTCTTAGGGTTAGGGTTAGGTTTTAGCATTAGGGTTAGGGTTACAGTTCCACACTAGGGTTAGGGTTAGGGGTTTGGGAAGGGCTATGGTTAGGGTTAGCGTTGCATATAAAGCTTCTTTAGAAAGAACATTATGTTTTTTGTATGAATAGACCCGAAACTATATATACTGCATCGGTTCTCAGAGAAAAGCACATTGGTACTGAATACAGTTTGTCACTTCCTTGTGTAAGTAATTGTAAATATGTATCTTTGGAATATCTTTATGATGTAACTTATTGTAACTGTGTTTTTTTACGAAATTCCTCACACTGCTTCTGTTCTCCGAGAAAAGGAAGCATGTAATTAACGCACACTGTTGTTTCTCTGTATAAGTCAATGTTGACAATTACCTTTGGCCCGATTATAGGTGGTGTGATGATACACAACACAGAATAACGACACAGACACTCACGTACATGACAATCACTCGAGTGACCAATGCATCGGTCGCTTTATTTTTATACCCTCCAAACCCAAGATTAGTTCCTTGTACATGAGCATCTGAGCATAGCAGTGATGTCCGTCAATTCTGGAGTTGTTTCAAAAGGGAACAATTTCCCATGGTCTCAGACCTCAAAATGGTTACTAAAGTTAAGGTGCTGGACAGAGCTCAAAAGCCAAGGCCGAGATAGGCAACATAAAACAATGCAGCCATTTGAAGTGCTTCTTGGTCCCAATCCCAGGTGACAGCTCCTCCCTGGCCCCCACGGTTGTGCATGTTTTAGGTCGCCCCCCCATGGGTAGTCTTACCCGTCATTGACGACCAACCATCAAGCATGGGCCAATTCTTGGGAGAGTTCTTGTTCTCTTGGCCTCCAGACTCCCACCGCGGTGGCCCTCCGTGTGGGAGTTGGGAACCTATGCTTATGTGCAACAACTCCGGCTTCTCATCAAGTCACCAGGCGGCGACCATGTCTGAAGAACATGCTGACTACCGCTGCGTCAGGCAGCACGCGGGCATCACGGACTGCAGTGAGTGATTAGCATAAGGCGCCACGCCAGAATCGCCCCGACAGTAAGTACCCTATGCGTGTTTTTAGCAAACTTTACATACCTTCATTTCTTAGAGTAAAGCAACTGTGTTATCAATGCAATTTCTCACTTCTTTTTGTAAGTGTTTGCATTTGGAACTTCTTTAGGAAAGTATACGCGGTTACTCATGTGTGATTCACAGGAAAGCAGAGACACCTTCACTTTCAGAGATAAGCAAGCATGTGTTCAAGGTACATCTAGGGTAGTGTTGGGGTCAGGGTTTTGGCTTAGGGCTACTGTTAGGGTTTCAAGGTAGGCATAGGGTTAAGGTTAGGTTTAGGGTTAGGGTTTCGGCCCAGGTATACGGTTAGGGTTAGCGTTTCGGCCTGACCTAGGGTTAGGGTTAGGCTTTTTAGCTAAGATTAGGTTTAGGGTTAGGGATACGTATGCAACTACTTTAGAAATAACATTATATTTGATGTGCGAATGTGACCAGACACTATATGTACTGCCTTCTCTCTCTGATAAACGTATATTTATAATCAACGCACTCTGTCACTTCTATTGGTAAGTAGCTGTAAATATGTATCTTTTGAATATCTTCATTTTTTAAGTTGTAATTTTGGGGTGTTTTCTAGGAAACTGTACATACTGCTGCAGTTCTCAGAGTAAAGCAAGTGTGTATATATTGAACTTCTAGAATAGTGTTATGGTTACTATTACTGTTTCGGGTTAGGTTAGTGTTAGGGTTTCGTGCTAGGGTTATGTTATGGTTTGGGTTTTGGGGTGAGGGTTAGGGTTATATTTAGGCTGAGCATAGTGTTAGCTTTACGATTTTGAGCTACGGTTAGGGTTAGTGTTGTATATGCAACTTCTTTAGAAAGAACATTACATTTATTGTGCGAATATGACCAGAAACTGTAATATCTGCGTCAATTCTTAGAATAATGGAAGTTTGTAATCAATGCCCTTTTCCACTTCTTTTGTACCTCTAAATATGTTTCTTTGGAACGTCTTTATGGTATAACTTATTGTAACTTACGTGTTTTTTCTAGGAAACACTACCCAGTGCTTCAGTTCTTAGTGAAAAGGAACTGTGCAATTAATGCACATTGTCACTTCTTTGTGTTAGTCACTGTAAATATGAACTTTAGTTAGTTGTTTATTAAATAACTCATTGTATACTATGCGTGTTTTTGGACACTACACACTGCTTCATTTTTCAGAGTAAATCCATTGTTCAATGTACCTCTCGTATAGTGTTGGGGTTAGGGGTTCGGCTTAGAGTTACTGTTAGTGTTTCCAGCTAGACAGAGTTATGGTTATGGTAATGTTTTCACGTTAGGGTTAGGTTTAGGGTTTCGGCCTGGGTTTAGGTTTAGGGTTAGGATTTTGGATTAGGCCTAGGCTTAGGGTTACGGTTTTGGACTAAGCCTAGGCTTAGGGTAAGGGTTTTTGGCTAGGATTCGATTTAATATCAGGGCTGCTTATACAACTTCTTTACAGATAACATTATATTTGATGTATGAACGTGACTGGAAATTATATACAATTCATCTGTTTTCATAGTAAAACATGTTTGTAGTCAAGGTTCTTTTCCCCTTCCTTCTGTAGGTAACTGAAAATATGTATCTTTGGAATATCATTATTATATAACTTAACTTTGTGTTTTCTAGGAAACTCTACACAGTGCAGTAGTTTTAGGGAAAAGCCAGTGTGTAACAGACGTTGTCGCTTTTTTGTGTAAGTCACTGTAAAAATTTACCTTTGGATGTTATTTATTGAATAACTTATAGTACCTTATAAGTGTTTTGTAGGAAACTTTACACACTGGTTCATTTGTCAAAGAAAAGCAACTGTGTTATCAATGCAATTACTCACTTCCTTGTGTAAGTGACTAAATGTTTGCATTTGGAATTTCTTTATAAAAGTCTATGCGTATACTTATGAGCGATTGACCGATAACTAGAAACACTGTTTCACTTTCAGAGAAAAGCAAGCGTATATTTAATGTACTTCTAGGATAGTGTTATGGTTGTGGTTAGGTTTTTGGCGTAGGTTTAGTGTTAAGGTTTTGCCCTAGTGTTAGGGGTAGGCTTAGGGTTAGGGGTTTGCCTTAGGGTTAAAGTTAGGATTAGGGTTTCGGGCTAGTGCGGGGGTGAGGGTTAGGGTTTTCAGCTAGGATTAAGATTAGTTTTAGGGTTCATATAGTAATTCTTTACAACTTACATTATGTTAGGTGTACAAATGTGACCGGAGACTATATACACTTCTACAGTTCTCAGTGAAAAGTGTTTTTGTAATCAACCTAATTTTTCAGTTGTCTAATAATTGTAAATATGCCTCTTTGGAATATCTTTGTTTTATAACTTATTGTACTAAGGAGTGTGTTCTAGGACTCTACACTGCTTTACTTCTCAAAGAAAAGCAAGAGTGTAATAAACGCACATTTTCGCTTCTTTGTGTAAATCACTATAAATATTTACCTTTGTCAGTTATTTTGAGATAACATCGTACTCTATTGGTGTTTTTAGAACACGTTACACAACTTCATTTCTTAGAGGAAAACAACTGTGTTATTAATGCAATTTCTCACTTTATTGTAAGTCACTCTAAATGTTTGCATTTTGAACTTCTTTATGAAAGTATACTTGGTGATTTACGTGTGATTCACCGGAAACTAGAAACAGTATTTCACTCTCAGAAAATAGCAAGTGTATGTGCAATGTACATCTATGATAGGGTTAGGGTTAGGGTTTCAGCTTAGGGTGATTGTTAGGGTTTCGAGGTATGCATAGGGTTAGGGTTAGCGTTAAATTTTCCCATTATTTTTATGGTTCGGGTTTTGGCTTAGGGATATGTTTTGGGTTAGGATTTTTAGCTAGTATTCTGTTTAGGTTCAGGGTTGGTTATGCAACTTCTTTAGAAATAACATATTTTATGTTCGAATGTGACCAGACACTTTATACACTGAATCCGTTCTCAGAGAAAGGCATGTTTATAATCAATGCACTTTGTCACTTCTTTTGTAAGTCACTGTATATATATATATTTGGAATATCTTTATAATATAACTTGTAACTTATGGATGTTTTCTACGAAACTCTACAGACAGCTTTATTTTCATTTATTTATTTATTTTTTGAGACAGTCTCGCTTGGTAGCCCAGGCTATAGTGAATGCCCTGGCGTCTACCTAGCTCCCAGCAACCTCAGACTCCTGGAATCAAGCAATCCATTTGCCTCAGTCTCCTGGACAGCTGGGACTACAGGCATGTGCCCCGATGCCCAGCTAAATTTTTCTATATATGTGAGTTGGTCAATTAACTTCTTTATATTTACAATAGAGACAGTGTTTCACTCTTGCTCAGGGATTTTTTGAACTCCTGACCTAGAGCAATCCGACCGCCTTGGCGTCCCAGAGTGCTAGGATTACAGGCATTAGCCACCGTGTCCGGACTACACACTGCTTTAGTTCTCCAAGAAAAGCCATTGTGTTATTAACGCACCTTGTCTCTTTTTTGTGAAAGTCTGTAAATAATATTAACCTTTGGAAATTCTTTTTGAAATAAGTTATTGTACCTTATGCCTGTTTTCTGGAAAACTCTACACACTGCTTAATTTCTCAGGGAAAAGCAATTATGTAAATGTAATTTCTCCCTTCTTTGTGTCAGTCACTGTAAATGATTGCATTTGGAATTTCCTTTTGAAAGTATATGCTGGTACTTATGTGTGATTCACAGGAAATTAGAAAATGTTTATTTTTCAGAGAAAAGCAAGCATATTATATACAATGCACTTCTAGGCTAGTGTTAGTGTTAGGGTTTTGGCTTTGGATTAGGGTTAGGGTTTTGCTATAGGGTTGGGGTTAGTGTTTTATATTAGAGTTAGTGTTAGGGTTAATGTTTCAGGCTAGGAATAGGATTAGGGTTAGTGTTTATGTCAGGGTTAGGGTTAGGATTTTTGAGCTAGGGTTAGGGTTTGGGTTAAGTTTTCATATGGAACTTCTTTAGAGAGGACATTATGTTTGTTGTATTAACGTGACGTGAAACTATATACTTTGGTTCTGTTGTCAGGGAAATGCAAGTTTGCAATCAGGGCACTTTGTCACTTCTTTCAGTTCGTAACTGTAAATATTTATCCTTGGAATATCTATATGATATAACTTAATGTAGGTTTGGCCGTTTTCCAGGCTGCTGTACACACTGCTTCGGTCTTCAGAGTAGAGCATATGTGCAATGAACGCACACTCTCCCGTGTCAGTTAAGTCACTGTAAATATTTACTTCTGGAATTTATTTATGTAATAACATTGTACCTTATGCATGTTTTGTATAAAACTACACACTGCTGCATTTCTCAGAGAAAAGCAACTATATTACCAATGCAATTTCACACTTCTTTGTGTACATTACTCTAAAGTTTGTATTTGGAACTTCCTTGTGAAAGTAAATACTGTTACTTATGTGAAATTCCCAGGAAACTAGAAACACTGTTTAACTTTCAGAGAAAAGGAAGAGTATATTCAATGCATTTTAAGGCTAGTTTTCTGGTTAGGGTTTCAGCTTTCGTTTAGTGTTAGATTCTCCCGCTAGGGTTATGGTTAGGGTTAGGGTTTCGTTTCGGGTTAGTGTTAGGGTTGTTTTGGACTAGGTATATAGGATTAGAGCTAGTGTGTAGGTCATGGCTAGGGTAGGGTTAGGGTGTTTGAACTAGGGTTAGGTTTAAGGTTATGGTTCTTAATGTTATTGTTGTACATGGATCTTCTCACAAAGAGCATTATGTTAGTTGGTCGTATGTGACGTGAAAATGTAAACACTACTTCAGTTGTCAGAAAAAAGCAAATTTGTAATCCATGGGCTTGTCACCTCTTTTTTTTAAGTGTCTGTAATTATGTATCTCTGAAATATGTTTATGATATATCTTAATGTAACTTTGGGTTGTGTTTTAGGAAACTATAGACTGTTTCAGATCTCAGAGAAATGCAGGTGTGTAATTCACTCACATTGTTGCTCTTCGTGTAAGTCACTGTCAATATTCATCTTTGAAAGTTTTATATGTATTAACATGTACCTTATGCATGTTTTCTATGAACCCCTACATAGTGCTTCATTCCACAGAAAAAGCATCTTTGTTAGCAATGAGAAATATCTCACTTCTTTGTGTAAATCAATTTATATATTTGTATCTGGAAATTTTTAATGAAAGTATATATTGCTGTTATGTGCGATACACAGGAAGTTAGAAACATTGTTTAACTCTAACAGAAAAGCAAGAATATATTCAATTGTTTTCTAAGTTAATGTTAGTGTGATGGTTTTTGCTTTGCGTTAGTATTAGGGTTAAGGTTAGTGTTACGGTTTGGCCCTAGGGATAGTGTTAGGGTTAGGGTTTCATGTTAGGATTAGGGCTGGTGTTAGGGTATCGGGCCAACTATTGGAGTAGTATTAGGATTTGGGTAGGGCTGTGGTTATGGTTAAGGTTTTTAGCTAGGGTTAGGGTTAGGGTTACTGTTGCATAGGAACCTTTTTAGAGAAAAAGTTTTGTTTTTTGTATGAATATGACGAGAAACTATAAACACTGGGCCAGTTTGTTGGAAAGCTAGTTTGCAATCAGTCCACTCTGTCACTTTTTTCTCTAAGTAACTGTAAATATGTATCTCTGCAATATCTTGATATAACTTATTGTAACCCTTCGGTGTTTCGTATGAATCTCTACACACTTCTTTTCTCATAGGAAAGCACCTGTGTTATCAAAGCAATTTGTCCCTTCTTTGTGTAAATTACTCAAAATGTTTGTATTCTGGACTATCTTATGAATGTATATACTGTTACTTATCAGCGCTTCACAGCTAACTAGAAACATTGTTTACTTTCAAAGGAAATGAATCGTATATGCAACGCACTTCTAGGCTATTGTAAAGGTTAGTATTTCAGCTTTTGGTTAAGATCAGAGTTTTGCGATAGGGTTATAGTTAGGGTTAGAGTTTCAGGTTAGGGATATGATTAGGCTTAGTGCTTAGATCATGCCATGGATTTTGGTATAATGTTATGGCCTGCTTTAGGTTTAGCGTTACACTTAGGTTTGCATATGGAATTTCTTTAGAAAGAACATTATGTTTGTTGTAGGAATGTGACATGAAACTATAAACATGGGTTGTCAGGGAAATGCAAGATTGTAATCAATGTGCTTGGACACTGACTGTCAATATATATGTTTAGAATATCTTTATGATATATGTCATTGCAACTTTGAGTTGTTTTCCAAGGATCTCTACACCCGGCATGAGTTCCCAGAGAAAAACAAGTTTGTATATTACGCACCGTGTTGCCTCTTCACATAAGTAAGTCACTGTAAATATTTATCATTGGAGGTTATTTATGTAATAACACAGTACATCATGCATGTATTCTACGAAAATCTACACACTGGTTCATTCCTCAGAGAAAAGCACCTGTGTTCAATGCTATTTCTCACTTATTTAAGTCACTCTACATATTTGAATTTGGGACATCCTTATGCAAGTATATACTGTTATTTGTGATATACAGGAAACTAGAAATACTTTAACTTCCGAGTAAAGCAAGCGTATATTCAGTGAACATGTAGGCTAATGTTAGGGTTATTGTTCGCGCTAGGTTTAGGGTTAGGGTTAAGGTTTCGTGTTATAGTTAGTGTTGTGGTTAGGGTTTCGAGTTAGGGTTAGTGTTTTGGGCTAGGAATACAATTAGGGTTAGAGTTTGGGGAAGGGATAGGGTTAGGGTTAGTCTTTTTAGCTATGGTTATGGTGAGCGTTAGTGTTGCATATGGAACGTCTTTAAAAAGAACACTGCTGTATGAATGTGACTTCAAAGTATAAACACTGGTTCAGTTTTCTGGGAAAGCAAGTTTGTAATCAATGCAGTTTGTCGCTTCTTTCTGTAAGTAACAGTAAATATGTAACTTTCGAATATCTTTATGATATAACATTGTAACTTTGGGTTTTTTTCTAGGAAACTCTACAGACCACTTCAGTTATCATAAAAAAGCAAGTGTGTAATTAACGCACACTGTTGCTTCTTTGTGTAATCACTGGACATATTTACCTTTGGAAGTTATTTATGTGAAAACTTATTGTCCCATTGCGTGTTTTCTGTGAAACTCTGCACACTGCTTCATTTCTCAGGGAAAAAGTTATGTTATTAATACAATTTCCCACTTCGTGTAAATCTAAATCTATGCGATTGGAACTTCCTTATGAAAGTATATACTGTTACATGTGTAATTCACAGGAAACTAAAAACACTTTAACTTTCAGAGAAAAGCAAGCGTATATTCAATGCACGTCTAGGCTAGTGTTAGGGTTACGGTAAGGAATTTGCGTTACGATTTGGGTTAAGGTTAAGTTGTAAGATCAGGTATAGGATTATTGTTAGGCTTTTAGCAGGGCTATGGTTAGGGTTAAGGTTTTAAGCTAAGGTTATTATTAGGGTAAGGTTGCATATGGAAATTATATAGAAATAAGACTATGTCTGTTGTAGGGATTTGACATGAAACTATAAACACTGAATCAGTTTCAAGGTAAAACAAAGTTATTAATCAATTCACTTTGTCACTTCTTTTTGTAAGTTAACTGTAAATATGAATCTTTGGAATATCTATGATATAACTTATTTTTGGGGGGTTTCATTTTAGGAAACTATGCACAATTATGCAAGTTTTCAGAGAAAAGTAAGTTTGTAACTAACGCACATTGTCAGTCCTTTGGGTTTGTCACTGTAAATATTTAACTTTGGAAATTATTTGTGGAATAAATTATTGTACCTTATTCGTGTTCTATAAAACTCTACATACTGTTACATGGCTCAGAGTAAAGCTACTGTGTTATCAATGTGATTTCTAATTTCTTTGTGTAAATCACTCTAAATTTTTGCATTTGTGAATTGTGTATGAAAGTATATACTGTTACTTATGAACTATTCACAGGAAACTAGAAACTGTTTAACTTTCAGAGTACAGTGAACCTATATTCAATGCACTTCTAGGGTAGTGTTAAGGTTAGTGTTAGGGTTAGTGTTTCACCTTGGTTAGTTTTAGGGTTAGCGTTTTGTGTTAAGATTAGGTTCGGGTTAGCGTTAGTGTTAGGGTTTCGGGCTAGGGATAGGATTAGGGTTAGGGATTTTGCAGGGCTATGGTTAAGGTTACAATATTTGAGCTAATTTCAGGGTTATGCTATGGTTATGGTTATGGCTAGCGTTGCATATGGAGCTTCTATGGATAAAACATTATGTTTGCTCTACAAATGTGACTTTAAACTATTACACTCGTTCAGTTGTCAGGGAAAGCAAGTTAGTAATCAACTCATTTTTTCACTTGTTTCTGTGAAGTATCTTCACACTTCTTCACTACTCTGGTTGGAGGCCCAGAGTACGTGCACTGCCTGCTGCCACCCCTGGAGTCGCTAGCCACGGTGGAGGAGAAGGTGGTACGTGAGAAGGCAGTGGAGTCCTTGAGGGCCATCTCGCATGAGCACTCGCCCTCTGACCTGGAGGCCCATTTTGTACCACTGGTGAAGCGTCTGGCGGGTGGCGACTGTTTCACCTCCCGCACCTCAGCCTGTGGCAATGCGGAACTTCGACAGTATTTCCGGAACCTGTGCTCAGATGACACTCTCATGGTGCGGCGGGCCGCAGCCTCCAGGCTGGGGGAGTTCGCCAAGGTGCTGGAGCTGGACAATGTTAAGAGTGAGATCACCCCCGTGTTCTCCAACCTAGCCTCTGACGAGCAGGACTCGGTGCGGCTGCCGGCAGTGGAGGCGTGCGTGAACGTCACCCAGCTCCTGCCCCAGGAGGGTCTGGAGGCTTTGGTGATGCCCACCCTACGCCAGGCTGCCGAAGACAAGTCCTGGCGCGTCCGTTACATGGTGGCTGACAAGTTCACAGAGCTCCAGAAAGCAGTGGGGCCTGAGAGCACCAAGACAGACCTGGTCCCTGCCTTCCAGAACCTGATGAAGGACTGTGAGGCCGAGGTGAGGGCCGCAGCCTCCCACAAGGTCAAAGAGTTCTGTGAAAATCTGTCAGCTGACTGTCGGGAGACTGTGATCATGACCCAGATCTTGCCCTGCATCAAGGAGCTGGTGTCAGATGCTAACCAACATGTCGAGTCAGCCCTGGCCTCAGTCGTCATGGGCCTCTCTCCCATCCTGGGCAAAGATAACACCATTGAGCACCTCTTGCCCCTCTTCCTGGCTCAGCTGAAGGATGAGTGCCCTGAGCTGCGATTGAACATCATCTCCAACCTGGACCGTGTGAACGAGGTGATTGGCATCCGGCAGCTGTCCCAGTCCCTGCTCCCTGCCATCGTGGAGCTGGCTGAGGATGCTAAGTGGCGGGTGCGGTTGGCCATCATAGAGTACATGCCCCTGCTGGCTGGACAGCTGGGTGTGGAGTTCTTTGATGAGAAACTCAACTCCTTGTTCATGGCCTGGCTGGTGGATCATGTCTATGCCATCCGTGAGGCGGCCACCAGCAACCTGAAGAAACTGGTGGAGAAGTTTGGGAAGGAGTGAGCCCATGCCACCATCATCCCCAAAGTCTTGGCCATGTCTGGAGACCCCATCTACTTGCACCGCATGACTACACTCTTCTGCATCAATGTGCTGTCTGAAGTCTGTGGGCAGGACATCACCACCAAGCACATGCTGCCCACAGTCCTGCGTATGGCTGGAGACCCAGTTGCCAATGTCCATGTCTTCAACGTGGCCAAGTCCCTGCAGAAGATTGTTCCCTTCCTGGACAACAGCACCCTGCAGAGTGAAGTCAAGCCTATCCTAGGGAAGCTGACCCAGGACCAGGATGTGGATGTCAAGTACTTTGCCCAGGAGGCACTGACTGTTCTGTCTCTGGCCTGATGCTGCAAGAGGAGCCAACTCTGGTGTTCACCCTTCAGCTGTCCCCAAGTCCTCCCTCGAGGAGGCAATGGGGACCTTGGCTATCTCTCCCTGTGCATGGTCTGACCCCAGGCCCCTTCCCCTGCACGGTTCGTCCTCTCCCCAGCCTGGGAAGACTGCTCCTGACCACATCCCTGGGGCTGGGAGAGCATGAGGGTGGGAAAGGATGGTGACCCTGGAGGCACTCTGCCCATGTTGGGGAAAGACGTGAGCATCCCAGGTCATTGGTTCCTGCTGCTGTAATGAGGATGCCCTCCCCCATCTACTTCTCCACCTCCCTTTCTCCCCTCTCAGTGGTTTTTTGTGTCAACTGTGTCGTTTTTATTTTATTCCTTTTTTTTTTTGCCCTATTCACAGAGAAATAAAGGTCTAGAAATGAAAAAACAAAAAAAAGAGTAAAGAAGTATCTTTTGCATATTTTTATAATATAATGTAGTGTAACTTGGGTTATTTTTGCTGTGTCCACTCACCCACGGGAGAAGGGCATGCAGGGAGCTGTGTGGATCAGGCTGTGTCCACACACTCATGGGAGACGGGCAGTTAAGGTGCTGTGTGGATCAGGCTGTGTCCACTCACCCACGGGAGACGAGCAGGCAGGTTGCTGTGTGGAAATGGCTATGTCCACTCACCCACGGGAGACGGGCAGGTAGTGTGCTGTGTGGAACTAGCTGTGTCCATTCATCCACGGGAGACGGGCAGTCAAGGTGCTGTGTGGATTGGCTGTGTCCACTCACCCACGGGAGATGGGCAGGTAGGGCGCTGTGTGGAACTGGGTGTGTCCACTCACCCACCGGAGACGGGCAGGCAGGGAGCTGTGTTGAACTGGCTGTGTCCACTCACCCACCGGAGATGGGCAGGTAGGGTACTGTGTGGATCTGGCTGTGTCCACACACCCATGGGAGACGGGCAGGCAGGGCACTGTGTGGATCTGGCAGTGTCCACACACGCACGGGAGACGGGCAGGCAGGGCGCACTGTGGAACTGGCTGTGTCCACTCACCCACGGGAGATGGGCAGGCAGGGCACTGTGTGGATATGGCTGTGTCCACACACCCATGGAAGACGGACAGGCTGGGCGCTGTGTGGAACTGTCTGTGTCCACACACCCACGGGAGATGGGCAGCCAGGGCGCTGTATGGAACTGGCTGTGTCCACTCACCCACGGGAGATGGGCAGGCAGGGCGTAGTGTGGAACTGGCTGTGTCCACACACTCACGGAAGACGGGCAGGCAGGGTGCTGTGTGGAACTGGCTGTGTCCACACACCCATGGGAGACAGGCAGACAGGGCACTGTGTGGATCAGGCTGGGTCCACTCACCCACGGGAGAGGGGCAGGCAGGGCGCTGTCTGGATCTGGCTGTGTCCACACACCAATTAAATACGGGCAGGCAGGACACTGTGTTGATCTGGCTGTGTCCACTCACCCACGGGAGATGGGCAGGCAGGGCGCACTGTGGAACTGGCTGTGTCCACACACTCACGGAAGACGGGCAGGCAGGGTGCTGTGTGGAACTGGCTGTGTCCACACACCCATCGGAGACTGGCAGACAGGGCACTGTGTGGATCAGGCTGGGTCCACTCACCCACGGGTGATGGGCAGGCAGGGCGCTGCGTGGATCTTGCTGTGTCCACACACCAACGGGAGATAGGCAGGCAGAGCGGTGTGTGGAATGGTCTATGTCCACTGAGCCATGGGAGACGGACAGGCAGGATGCTGTGTGGATCTGGCTGTGTCCACTCACCCACGAGAGATGGGCAGGTAGGCCGGGGTATGGAACTGGCTATGTCCATACACTCACGGGTGAGTGGGAGGCAGGGTGCTGCGTGGATCTAGCTGTGTCCACACATCCACAGGAAAAGGGCAGGCAGTGCGCTGTGTGGAACTGGCTGTGCCCACACACCCACGGGTGACAGGCAGGCAGGGCGCTGCGTGGATCTTGTTGTGTCCACACACCCACGGGAGATGGGCAGGCAGAGCACTGTCTGGAACGGGCTGTGTCCACTCACTGAGAGGACAAGGGCAGGCAGGGCCTTGTGTGGAACTGGCTTTGTCCACCCACCCACGGGAGACGGGTAGGCAGGGCGCCGTGTGGAACTGGCTGTGTACACTCACCCAATGGAGACGGGCAGTCAGGGTGCTGTGTGGATCTGGCTGTGTCCACACTCCCATGGGAGACGAGCAGGAAAGGTGCTGTGTGGATCTGGCTGTGTCCACACTCCCATGGGAGACGGGCAGGCAGGGCACTGTGTGGAACTGGCTGTGTCCACACACCTACCGGAGGCGGGCAGGTAGGGCAGGGTGTGGAACTGGCTGTGTCAACACACTAACGGGAGAGTGGCAGGCAGGGCGCTCTGAGGATCTGGCTGTGTCCAGTCACCCACTGGAGTCGGGCATGTAAGGCGCTGTGTGGATCTGGCTGTGTCCACACACCCACGGGAGACAGGCAGGCAGGGCGCTGTGTAGAACTGGCTGTGTCCACTCACCCACAGGAGACGGGCATGTAGGGCGCTGTTTTGATCTGGCTGTGTCCACTAACGCACGGGAGACGGGCAGGCCGAGCGCTTGCGGAACTGGCTGTGCGCAGTCAGTCACGGGAGAAGAGCTGGCCGGTAGCTGTGTGGATCTGGCTGTGTCCAGTCACCCACGGGAGAAGAGCAGGTAGGGCAGGCTGTGGAACTGGCTGTGTCCACACACTCACAGGAGAGTGGCAGATGGTGCTCTGTGGATTCCTGGTGTGTCACTAACCCAGGGGACACGGCAGCAGGGGCAGTGTGGAACTCGCTATGTCCACTCATGAAAGAGACGGGCAGTAGGGCGCTGTGTGGATCTGGCTGTGTCCACATCACCCACGGAGACGGGTAGTAGGGCGCTATGTGGACTGGCTGTGTCAACACATACGGGATAGTGGAGGCAGGGTGCTGTCTGGAACGGGCCGTTCCACTCACCCACGGGAGACGGGCAGGCATGGCGCTGTGTGGATCTGACTGTGTGCACTCACCCACGGGGATGGGCAGGTGCGGCGCTGTGTGGAATTGGTTTCTCTACTCACCCACCGGAGACGGGCAGGTAGGTGCCTGTTGAACTGGGTTGACTACGAAACCAGGAAGGACGTGTAGGCAGGTGCTGTGTGGACTCGCTGTGTCCCACTCACCACAACGAGACGCGCAGGTAGGGCGCTGTGTGGATCTGGCTGTGTCCACTCAGGCACGGGATCCGGGCAGGCCGGGCGCAGTGTGGATCTGGTTGTGTCCAGTCACCCACAGGAGATGGGCCGGTAGGTCGGGGTGTTGAACTTGCTGTGCCCACACACTCACGGGAGCATGGCAGGTAGGGCGCTGTGTAGAACTGGCTGTCTCCACTCAAACAATGGAGACAGGCAGGCAGGGCGCTGTGTGAAACTGGCTGTGGCCACTCACCTTCAGGAGATAGGCAGGTAGGGCGCTCTGGGGACCTGGCTGTGTCCACTCAGCCACCGTAGACTGGTAGGTATTCATTTACCTCTCATGTTGTTCCAGCGTATTGTGGGGGCACCAATGTTAAGGTCGGGTACAT